GGTGGCGGTCTGTGTATATTTGTAAACAACAGTTGGTGCACAAAATCAAATACTAAGGAAGTCTCTAGGTTTTGCTCGCCTGAGGTAGAGTATCTTATGATAAGCTGTAGACCACACTATTTACCAAGATAGTTTTCATCTATATTTTTCATAGCTGTCTATTTACCACCACAAACCAATGCTGGCATTAAGATTGCACTGAATGAGCTGTTTAAGGCCATAAGTGAACAGGAAAATGCTCATCCAGAGGTAGCGCTCCTAGTGGCCAGGGACTTTAATGCAGGGAAACTTAAATCCGTTCTACCTCATTTCTACCAGCATGTTAAATGTGCAACCAAAGAAAAAAAAACTCTAGACCACCTTTACTCCACACACAGAGACGCATACAAAGCTCTCCCTCGCCCTCCATTTGGCAAATCTGACCATAACTATATCCTCCTGATTCCTGCTTATAAGCAAAAACTAAAGCAGGAAGCACCAGTGACTCGGTTAATAAAAAAGTGGTCAGATGACACAGATGCTAAGCTACAGGACTGTTTTGCTAGCACAGACTAGAACATGTTCCAGGATTCTTCAGATAGCATTGAGGAGTACACCACATCAGTCACTGGCTTCATCAATAAGTGCATCGATGATGTCGTCCAGCAGTGAGGGGAACGGCACCTCTGTACCTTCGGGCTCTGATCAGTCCCTACACCCAAACGAGGGCATTGCGTTCATCCACCTCTGGCCTGCTGGCTCCCCTTCCTCTGCGGAAGCATAGTTCCCGCTCAGCCCAGTCAAAACTGTTCGCTGCTCTGGCACCCCAATGGTGGAACAAGCTCCCTCACGACGCCAGGACAGCGGAGTCACTCACCACCTTCCGGAGGCATTTGAAACCCCACCTCTTTAAGGAATACCTGGGATAGGATAAAGTAATCCTTCTACCCCCCCCCCCCCCCCCCCCCCAAAATTGTAAAGTGGTTATCCCACTGGCTATAGGGTGAACGCACCAATTGGTGAGTCGCTCTGGATAAGAGCGTCTGCTAAATGACGTAAATGTGCCCTTGAGCAAGGCACTTAACCCTAATTGCTCCTGTAAGTCGCTCTGGATAAGAGCGTCTGCTAAATGACTAAAATGTAAATGTAATGTAAAATGTCCCCACAGTGACCATACATACATACCCCAACCAGAAGCCATGGATTACAGGAAACATCCGCACTGAGCTAAAGGGTAGAGCTGCCGCTTTCAAGGAGCGGAACTCTAACCCGGACGCTTATAAGAAACGTGTACTCCGAGCATGTGCTGACCAACTGGCAAGTGTCTTCACTGACATTTTCAACATGTCCCTGACTGTAATACCAACATGTTTTTATTTAAAATAAATGCACTGTTGGTTAAGGGCTGTAATTAAGCATTTCACTGTAATGTCTTCACCTGTTGTATTCGGCGCATGTGGCCAATACAATTTGATTTGATTTTTGTGACTGCACTTGAAGAAACGTTCAAAGCTCTTCATGTCTTAAAGTAATGATGGACTGTCATTTCTCTTTGATTATTTGAACTGTTCTTGCCATAATATGGACTTGGTCTTTCACCAAATAGGGCTATCTACTGTATACCACCCCTACCCTGTCACAACACAACTGATTGGTTCAAACGCATTAAGGAAAGAAATTCCACAAATGAACTTTTAACAAGGCACACCTGTTAATTGAAATGCATTCCAGGTGACTACCTCATGAAGCTGGTTGAGAGAATGCCAAGAGTGTGCAAAGCTGTCATCAAGGCAAAGGATTGCTACTTTGAAGAATCTCAAATATAAAATATATTTAGATTTGTTTAACACTTTTTTGGTTACTACATGATTCCATATGTGTTATTTCATAGTTTTGATGTCTTCACTATTATTCTACAATGTAGAAAATAGTAAAAATAAAGAAAAACCCTGGAATGAGTAGTGGCGCAGTGGTCTAAGGCACTGCATTGCAGTGCTAGCTGTGCCACTAGAGATCCTGGTTCGAATCCAGGCTCTGTCGTAACCGGCCGCGACCGGGAGACCCATGGGGCGGCGCACAATTGGCCCAGCGTCATCTAGGGTAGGGGAGGGAATGGCTGGCAGGGATGTAGCTCAGTTGGTAGAGCATGGCGTTTGCAACGCCAGGGTTGTGGGTTCGATTCCCACGGGGGGTAAAAAAATAATGTATGCACTCACTAACTGTAAGTCGCTCTGGATAAGAGCGTCTGCTAAATGACTAAAATGTAAAATGTGTCAACTTTTGACTGGTACTGTAGGTATAGGGGCAACTCAAGATATGTTACCCATTATTATGATCATGACATTACCAATAACTTATCCAACTTATTATTTTAATAAAATGTGCATTGCAATGAAACAGCAGCAAAACACATAGGCCTACATTGCACATTGATTAGGGGAAGAGACTGAATAATAACAGAATAATAACTAAATTATAATAATCAATAATACAAAACAGTAATTTATTGATTTTGTTTTAAGGGGAAATCAAACCAGATTACCATTTCATTTCTTCAATTCTGCTATATTGTTATTTTTGGAATGGAAAAACAAACAAACAGTATTTTGTTGGCCTTTCAACTCAAATACAGTAAGAGACTAATGGGAGAAAAAAGAAAAGGGGGAACAAATACAACTTCATTCAGAGATCCCTCTTACACACAGGTTGCTCAGGATCAGCAGGCTCGTGTTCATTAGGGCACACAGTAGAAAACCGTTTTGCTACGAAAAACCTAAACAAGCCATTTCTTATTTGACAAGTTCAGGTACTGTAGTACCTTCCTGTTTCACTTATTTTCTTCTGTTCCTAATGAACATGACATAGGTTGAGGAAAAAGATGGACAGAGACCCCAAGTCACCACGGTAGGCCCTTCATACTGTAACGTACTCCCTGATACAGTACAGTGAATAAGTGGGATCAAGGGACATAAACCTTCATTTCTATGCAATAGTACTTCACATAATACAGCAGTAGCTCTTCCTCTCCCTGAACCCTTTTGCCATGTTGGTATAACAGAAAAGGCCACGTCCCTGTCCTGATCCGGGAGCCTGTACTGGCACCATTAAAACTGGTAATTTCTTTCAATACAAGCCAGATAATGTTTGTACCACAAAAATAATGAGTAGTAGTGGTGTCACCATAGACATACAGTATATTTTGTTATTTTCGTACATTCATAAGATAAGTTTCAAAATACAGTACTCCTTTGTGGGGTAAAGAGCTTCTATGTGCCAAATACTATTAGATACCAATACTATTGGATGGTGTGAAATACTATGGAGTACAGATACTACCATTGATGTACCTCTTACTTCAAGGTAACAGCCAGAAAACCTTTGTGTATTCTCCTGTAACATTGTACTGTAGGCTATAGGCCCACTGTGTGTAGATGACCACCTCCTTGCCCATATGTTTTAACACAATCCAAAATCAATTTGTGGGTTTTTAGAATGAATTTGGAATGGAATTGTGATCATAATCACAGTAAAATAAATGGCATGAAGTAAAGGTGATTTAAATAAATCAACAAACATAAATCAGGAATGAACACACAACTCCAAAGTATAAGATATAAAAACAACACGCATGCCTTGCAGCATCAATTTGGCATGGTTGCATCCAAAATGGCACCCTATTCCCTATGTAGTGCACTACTTTTGACCAGAGCCCCGGCTCTGGTCAAAAGTAGTGCACTATATAGAGAATAGGGTGTCATTTGGGAAACAACCCATTTGTCATACAGAATCTTTAAAAACCTCACAGTGAAGAATTATGCCCCTTTAAAGATAAAGAACAGCATACAGTTACCCTCCCACGCACACACTTATTTCATATAAAACATCTCATCTCATAGCAATTAAAACAATCTCTCCAGTACCATGGTAGCAATGCAGTTGTTTGTTTGTCCTTCACTAAAATTTCTGTTTTGGCTTGTACCAAAAAATACATCTAGAGAGAGAAAGTCATTGACGATACATAGAAAAGAGAAACACAACCTTATGTGGGTTAGAATTAGCCTGCACACAATAGAGGTCCTGAAAGGAACACAGAAATCCAATCCAAGGCTGCTCTGTGTGTGTGTGTGTGGTCTCTCTTCGTTCGCAGTGCACAATCAAAGACAGATTTCTCAGCTCTCCTTCATATTATCAAGCATATCAAGTCAAAAACAATGTGTTCGCCGCTATCAAAGACAATGACGTTTTTTTCCGTGGCCTTTGTTGTCAAAAGTGACAAGAAAGAAAAAGCTGAAAAAACAACAGATTTGCAGTTGTTCAATCTTCAGTCATTTCAGTTGTTCGATCCGCAGTCATGTCAGTTGTTCGATCCGCAGTCATGTCAGTTGTTCATTCTGCAGTCATTTCGAACAGAAATTGGTTGATGTGTGTAGAGTCAGTCCCTCATAATAAAACATTTGTTCTTTGGTCGTTTTCATCTTATCCTTGAATATTTCATATAATACATATATAGATTTTGTTACAAGGTCGTCACGACAACAAAAAAATCCATCCATTTCAGTGAAAAATAAATAATAGCTCCGGATGTGAAGTATTTGTTGTGTAGCTCACGACAAAACAAATGTAGCCTTTTGTTCAGTAATTTCCTTCTAAGGCAATAGGTCTTCATTATAATTCTTTAATTATATCTTTCAAGTAGCTTTGTGTCATAAGCCTTGAAGTAAGAACGGAATTCCTGGTGTGCGTCCCATATGGCACCCCATTCTCTATACAGTGCATTCATTTTGACCAGGGCCCTGGGCCTATACAGGGAGCCATTTGAGACCCAAACCTAAAGTAGTGTGCATAACAATACATGATCGCACACAAACACATTTCCTTCATGGCTTTGAACTGTTTCTTTCTTTCTCTCTTGTCTCACTCTCTTTTCTCACACACCCACTTCCCGCTCTCCCTCTCTCTTCCTTTCCATATCTCTCTTCTTCATGTATGAGCAGCCAGCGGTAGTCCCGTGACCGTCGTGGTTAACTGCCCTGGGTACCATTGGGACCACTGGTCAGGAAGTAGGTGGTCATCTCTCCCTTCCCCTTCACCTTGACCAGGCCTCTGTGGTCCAGTTGGTAGCCTTTGTTTACCAGGACATGGTACAGGTCTGTGGTCACCTGGGAAAAGACAACACAAGGACACGTGTGTGTGCATGTGTCATTTGACTCTCCACAGATAATGTCAGCCACAGCTACACAGCAGCTATCCTCTTCTATTTTGTTCTGTTCTATTCTAGGATGATCAAGGCACTACATGGTGGAAGGAAAAGTATATAATGGCAAGTGTAGCGATAGTTGAAGTGGAACACTTGGTATCTGGTTACAATTCTTGTTCCTTTTAACTAATGGTTGCAAAATACTGTACTGCAGTAGGGTTTTATATACAGTAGGTGGCAGCACTGAACATAGAGGACACTGAATCTACAGTATATTGCTATATTGAGTTCAAGGTCATCATATGTCCATCATCCAATTAATTACATTGACAAGATTTAATTTAGCATTTAAATAAGTGTAAAATGGTTGAACGTTATATGACTCTCAATGACATATCTAACATACAGTGGATATCAAAGATATGTACAGTAATTCTTAAAATCAGGCAAAGTAGGTGTATCTACCTGTATGCAGTCTGGGACTCCGGTGCTGTCCATACGACTGGCCACATTGACAGTGTTCCCCCAGATGTCATACTGGGGCTTCTTGGCCCCGATCACCCCGGCCACCACCGGACCCATGTTGAGACCTGCATGAGCAAACAAGACACAGTCAACCTGCCTGCCTGCATTGCACCCCTTCACCCATCTATAAGTAAACCATTCAATTTTGTCCTAGAGGGCTGCAACGTGCCGGCTTTCGTTCCACTCCAACACATCTGATTCAAATAGTAAACTAATGATAGACTACTGCAGCACTGACCAGGATTGATTCTTATTCTCGTTGTGTTGTCTTTACAAAGGGACACTTTGCCACACATGTAATACCACTCATCTATCTTCATCTGGATGTTATTAAAGGAGCGTTCGTTGATGTACTTCATCTGTTCCCTAAGTCTCATGGCTACTCCTACTCCTAATACTACTACTCCCAACCCCATCTCTACCATAGGTCTAGGGACTCACCTATCTTCATCTGGAAGTTATTGAAGGAGTGTTCGTTGATGTACTTCATCTGTTCCCTAAGTCTCATAGCGTAGTCTGCCAGAGCCAGGATGTGTGATCGTCCCTCACGGTCGTAGGTAGAGTCGTTGAGGCCAGAGGCAGCCATGTAGGTACTACCAATGGTCTTTATCTTTTCCAGCTGGCGGAAGTTGTCTTCACTGATGATCTGGGCGGTCGGGGGTAGACAAAGGAAAAAGGGAGGGAGTTACAAACAACAGTGCCTAAAAACGCACACAATAACAAACGTTGAGACTGGTGTTTTGCGGGTACTATTTAATGAAGCTGCCAGTTGAGGACCTGTGAGGCGTCTGTTTGTCAAACTAGACACTCTAATGTATTTGTCCTCTTGCTCAGTTGTGCACCGGGGCCTCCCACTCCTCTTTCTATTCTGTTTAGAGCCAGTTTGCGCTGTTCTGTGAAGGGAGTAGTACACAGCGTTGTACGAGATCTTCAGTTTCTTGGCAATTTCTCGCATGGAATAGCATTAATTTCTCAGAACAAGAATAGACTGACGAGTTTCAGAAGAAAGTTATTTGTTTCTGGCCATTTTGAGCCTGTAATCGACCCACAATTGCTGATGCTCCAGATACTCAACTAGTCTCAAGAAGGCCAGTTTTATTGCTTCTTTAATCAGCACAACAGTTTTCAGCTGTGCTAACATAATTGCAAAAGGGTTTTCTAATGATCAATTAGCCTTTTAAAATTATAAACTTGGATTAGCAAACACAACGTGCCATTGGAACACAGGACAGATGGTTGCTGATAATGGGCCTCTGTACGCCTATGTTCCATAAAACAAATCAGCCATTTCCAGCTACAATAGCCATTTACAACATTAACAATGTCTACACTGTATTTCTGATCAATTTGATGTTATTTTAATGGACAAAAAAATTGCTTTTCTATCGAAAACAATGACATTTCTAAGTGACCCCAAACTTCTGAACGGTAGTGTACATTTTTTTATAACTTAATTGTGTGAATTGTTTGCGTATGATTTTAAGTGTATATCAATTCCCCATTAAATATATCACCAGTAGTACATTTACCGTTAATTCCTATAATTTCTAATCTACAATGTTTGTTACTTTGGTTATGGTAATTTATGTTAATGCATTCAATATCATTATTCCAGTTATCATTGTCGGAGTAGACACAATGTTTGCAGAGTGCACAACCTATGCTACACTTGTGAGAAACAAGTTTGGTCAATTTAGTAATTGTCTTTTGTTTGGTGCGCGCCTGTCAATGTTGAGTTAGGATGCGCACGCATAGAAGTAGTCTTATAGGCTACCTGGCCTGCATGTAAATGTAGGCATATAAATGTGCCCATTTGGGGATCTGACTGTATTTGTTATTGCTTAAGGTACCACCACTAATGACCTGTGGAGCTTCTCAAAGTTTTCTTTACCTCAAACAGCAAGCAAACAAAGTCTGTTTTTACATCCATTGAGAATTACAATAGTTCCTCAATGAATTTGAAAAATCTTTCCAGCTCTCTCCCTTTTGATAACCACTCAGCGTGAAAGGGAAAAATGTCATGCTGATTACCTCTTATCAGTGCTTGACTTGGACTGAAATAGGTTCCGGTACTCATGTTGGGTGCTGGTACTGTTCATATTTAGGTGCAGGAGCTCCACAATATTTTTGAGCTAATATTCTATAATCAATAGGAACAGGAGCTCGAGCAGTAGAAAAGTTGAGGTGCCGGTACTCAGCTCTGGTGAGCTCCTGCCCAAGTCAAGCACTGCTTCTTATCCCTTGCGCAAATAGCCTACACGGGAAACTCTGAGCTCCCAGAATATTTTATTCAATGTTGCAAGTTCGCTAGGGGCCTGACCCAAGTTAATAGTTGATACAACGTTTCAAGTTCGTTGCAGACAGGCCATGTGTAGCCAATTTGATTTATAGGATATTTATTTTTAAATCAGAACATTTTCTACCTGCAGGCTGCAATGTTTTTATTTGTTGGATTTATGTAGGCTATTTTTACATAGTTGGCAATGGCAATAGAAGTTACATTTTAGGTTTGTATCATTTTCATTTAGATTGGGATAGAATTTTGATTAACCACATGACAATATTTTGAGATATGAAGACGTTATTATAAATTAAATTAAACTGTTAAACGAAAATGTGCATATGAAAACCATAAGTGGCATGCAGAGCAGTAGAAATGGTAAGATAAATTGGCATTTCACATGAGAAAGGTTGGCGACTCCTCATGTAGCCTATTACCGGCAACTTCAGGAGCGTAGTGGCAGAATCTGCGAAAGCCAGCAGGAGAATAGTTGAGTCAGGTCTAGATCTCTGGCGCCCTCTTGAGGCAGTTGTCTTATTTCATCAAACCGTAAGCTCAATGCATATAGTTGATTTGATTAAAACACATAGGCTGGGTATATATATGCAAAGATACACATGTAAAAATGTTGACCAATTGAACATGACTTTCGGTTTACCAAGATTTTTTTTTGTCGGGGACAGCCCTAGATAGGCATTTTTGGTGAAGCTTGCATACAATTGCCACTCCCTGTTGCACACAACAAGCTTCCATTCCCGTCACAAATTGTTTTGGGACAGAATGTTTAAAATTAGGTACAAGTTACCCAAAATGTACTCAGCTACATCAATCGCTATTCTTTCTCTCCTGGTGACTTTGTGGATTTTATTCCAGACCACAGCCTTTGCGATCTACATCCTACCTCTGCACCCATTTCTCCCCTCCCACCTCCTCCTATCTCCTTCTCCTCCCCCCTCCCACCTCGTAAAAGTCTGCGATGATCTTGTTCGGTAATCTCAAAGACTCCATCCCCTCGTTGTCTCTCCTCCCTCCCCCATTCCCCCTTTCCTCCTCTCCTCTCCTCCCTCCCCCACCTTTCCCTTTATTTATACAGGTTATTCTCTCTCACCTCGTCAAAATCTGCGATGATCTCGTTGAGCAGCCTGAGACACTCCACTCCCTCGTTGTTGGCCTCCAGCTCCACGTAGAACTCAGAGAAGTTGGAGATGGAGGCGAACATGACAGCCACACACTCACAGGACTGGTAGTAGAGCTCGTCGTTACGCCGTTCCCGCGCCAGGAAGTGGGCGGCCACGTCTTTAGGCAGGATGTTGTGGAGGAGGCGGCGGTTGTAGGCCTGAAGCTCCTCCATCTCCTCTTTCTCCTCTGTAGCCTGGAGGGAACAGACACAGGGGAATGGGGAAACAGTTTGTTAAAAGGGATGAGAAAGTGACAAAATGATTAATAGGTCAACCTCATCGCTGTCTGTCTATAGGTATTGAGAGGAACTCAAAATGCTGATTGGTGTTTAGTATTCCACTGAACGTAGACCAGAGTCGGGATTAAAGTCACTCTGCTGCAACCACTTTATCAACAGACAAAGACTGAGGTCTGCTGAGTGATGTCACCAGATACAGAAACCGAGGCATGTGAACTCCACCTGCTGGATGTGTATGTGTGGGGGGAGGGGGAGGGGGGGGCCAGGTCCTACCTAGCTTCCACAGGAACTCGAGGCATGCATGTGTGTGTGTGAGTGATGTGAAAAAATCTGATTATTTTTAAATGTTTAAACAGCTATTTATTTTATTGTTTTTCCGTTAAAATGATAAGAAAATGCATAAAATGCCACGTGAATTCAAAATGCAGCTGCGCTTCTGCCAGCAACGGTTTGGTCTCACTGTGCGTGCCTTTCAGATGGCTAAGCATTGCACCTGTACTACCATTACTGTACCTCAATTCCACCTCGCAAAGTTAGCATTTCCTTCTCATTTAACTTCTCAAAGTTTTGCCATACAGGACTTTGCTGCTGTCGCTTGCCTTTCTCTGACGTTTTTCCAACTGTTAATGACGATGACATAGTGGTGGAGTCGACTTTCCAAAATAATTGATTCCTTGCACGTCAACCCCATTTCTAAGTGTCAAGATTCAGTATTTTTGAAACAGAGGAGACTGATTAGTTGCCGTATTTCAGAGAACACAAACACTTGTGTCTTTCATAGCGAGCTAGCGAGGGACAGGGAGAGAGAGGGGAGGGGCACAGTATAGACAGGTCAGCCACCAGGCAGACAGAGTCAGAACTGTGCACTAGGCCTATCTATCGGCAATAAAAAGGTGTACCTCGCAATTTCTTGGCTTGCAATGTCTCGCAACTTCAGTAAAGCAGGGCCTATCATCAATGAAGAAGTTATGATATTTTACACGCAACAGACCGAAGACTGAATACACACTCGCACCATTAGCATTAGTGGGAACCAAGACTGTTCTAAGTGCAGGTCTGCTGGTTTTGACTAGCAGAAGTGACTTTTCGTAGCAGGTTAGGAGAACTTATGCAGCAGGTTAGGATAATTAACGTGGCAGGTTAGGATAATTAATGTGGCAGGAAGAAACATGGAGTGCATAGGTCTTGGTATCTGTATCTCGTCTTGCATGCCTTGCAAATTCACCAAAGTAACCTACATTTCGCCTCTCCCTCTCTGGTTTTATTTAAATTACAAAACTTTCTCCAGGCGTTTATAGCCTATCATCTAATTAATATGTTTTGTGATAACTGCACTGTGATTTTAATTTTGTGAGGGGGAAAACAAAAAAATATGTTTTTTCAGTTAGGGATTTTTCTTAACGTTAAGGATCCCAATTTAAACGTTCACACCCTTAGTGAGTGTGTATGTGTGTGGCACCAGGTCCTACCTGCAGCTTCCACAGGAAGTCGAGGCGTGCAGTGGACTCAACCTGCTGAGCGTGTAGGTACAGAGCCAGGACGAACACCGTCAGGATGACAGGGGTCATGACCTTTAGAGACACCTTGGTCACACTCTCCTGGCTGGGGGGAGGGAGACAGGACTACAACCAATCAATCAATCAAGCAATGAATCAAGCAATCAATCAATGGAGGCTCCTCAGAGGATGAAGGGGAGGACCATTTTCAGAAAAATACAAATAGTGAAACATTAAGAAAAGCTATTTTCCGTCCTCCTCTGGGTACATTGACTTCAATACAAAACCTAGGAGGCTCATGGTTCCATATACTTACACAGTAATTATGACAACTTCTGGAGGACGTCCTCCAACCTATAATATCTCTTGCAGTATGAACTAACATCTTGTCCATCCAATCAAAGGATCAGAGAATAAATCTAGTACTGAAAGCATACTGGTAAACTACAGCTAGCTAGCACTGCAGTGCATAAAATGTGGTGAGTACTTGACACAAAAAGAGAGAAAGAAAATACTTAAAGTTTTTTAATTAGTTTCTTAAAAAATTAAGGAGAAGCAGCAGAGAGAGAGAGCTAGCTATATTTCGTATTTTCTTTCTTCTTAGTTTACCTTTCACTTACGTAGCTAATGCAGATGATTTAGCCTACTCAACAACCTGACTCAAACAGAGAGGAATGCTGTTTATGTTAGCTAGCTGGCTAAGCCTATCCAACACCACAACTCTTACAAGTCAAGGTAAGCTTTCAGTTTTATAAATGTATTGCCACCGGGGCCTGCCGGTTTAACTGCTAAACTGCTTGTGCTACAAACTGTACTGCATGATTTTACACATGGATTGGCTTGTGGGTTTACTAACACGTTAGTTCTAGTTTGTTGACTATGATGTTAATATGGTGAAAATGATGTAGGCTGTAGCAGTAACCTTATGGTATAAAGGTTTGGCTTGGAGAGCTTATTGAGGGAAAAGTTAGAGAAGGAGAGCGCGTAGATGCGAGAATGAATTATACAACGAGCAAAACGATGATTCTGTATGTGGCTGCTATGAAAGTGAACTGTGTTTGCGGGTGATCAGGGGTGTATTCATTCCGCCGATTCTGTTGCAAAACGTTTCTTAATTAAACAGACCTACCTGAATTTTTCCAATAGAATCTCTTGTTTTAGTTGCAAAATTGAATGTTTTGCAACTGTTTGGACTAATAATTACACCCCAGATCAGCTAGATGCAGGCAAGAGTGTGCAAGGCGGTATTGTTTGTGTCACTGTCTGTCACCTTGATTTCTCCAATTTGTCTCTCGACCTCTGCACCTACGTTACAAACTTTCATTTTTAGGCTAGGTTGTAGCAACCTCATGATGGGTAGGTATACTGTAGGGCAACTTTTAGTATCACATAGTAACCTAAACCTATCGATGTTACACTGAGCTGGGTGAATGGAATATGAATGACAGTCATCCAATATGCCATGCTCATGAAATAAAAATTGGTCTCCCTAATCTTGATGGGCATGAATCGCCACTCTAATCAATCAATCACACTCCTGGCTGAGGGGAGACAGGGGGAGAATAGACTCAGTCTAAGAGTGGACATGCACACTAACATGGACATGGTAACAGTGCATTGACCAAAATACTAATAGAGAAGAACAAAAGATAACAATGAACTTACCATGTCTCTGTAACTGTTTCATTGAAACTAGGAAACCAATCTAGAGAGTCATTCAATGGTGTGAAAGAGCTAAGGGCAAAAACAAAACACAAAATGATTAAATACCTTCAACACTTGACAAGACATTTGTGCTTTGCACACCACAAAGGTAGACACAAGTGCACATTGACTAGAATTGTATATTTGCGCTCTTGAGCTTGTAATGTGGACTGCAATGTGATTCAACCTGCCTTGAGTACCATATGGTCAGGGTTTGCTATTCCACCCAACTTTATCAACTAGTGCAGCTTAAGTATTTGAACGAAAACAAGTACGACTTGAACAAATACTATGAGGTGGGCGAACAGTAGGCTACAGTCAGTGACTCACAGGGTGTGTGTGTGTGTTAACTCACAGGGTGTTGGCGGTGAGCAGCAGGTCTGCGTTGTCGAACAGGGCCACCTGGGGCCACTCCACCAGCAGCAGGAAGGTAACCTGGATCAGCACCATCAGGGCGAGCTTGCCTATACTACTGATGTGGAGGAACACACTGCAGGCCAGCAGGGTCAGGAGAACACTGTAACAGAAATACTGGAGGACGGGGGGAAGAGGTATAGTTAGTTATAACAATGTTATTACATACAGACGGTATTCACACCGCACCCACACCACACACTAGCGTCCCTGCTGGGCTCACCTCAGGGAAGTGGCATGGTGTGAGCTGGCTGGGGCACAGGGTCAGTCCGTCCTGTGCTGACTGTGTCAGGTTGTGTAGTAGACACAGAGTCACCAGACTGGAGGACAGGTTACGCTCACGCATCACACAGTCCACCAGGCCCTCTCTGTCACAGGTAAACTAAAGAGAGAGATACACATGTCAACCAACAGAGAAACCAACACACAGGTGTCAAACTGAACTACTACCGTTGCAGGCACTATTGGGAGAGTTATTCACAATGTGTGTGCAACACGGCGCTCTATCATCTTCTACTGATAGCTTGTCACAAAAACCTATGCCACGGTACTGTACAACGTTTAAAAAGCAAACATTTTATTACCTGCAATTTTAACTGCACTGTCATTGTACATGAAGGGGAAAGCAAATAGTGGTCCCTACCATGTTAATGAAGGCAGACATGAAGAGGAGTATGATGGTGAGGACCCCCACCAGGGTACTATTGGTACGAGACTGGACTATCTTCTTAGTCACCGTCTGCAAGGCAGCTGGGAAGAGCTGGGAGGAGGGTGGGGGGCAGCGAGAAAGAGAAAGAAAGAAAGAGAATAATTTATCTTAGTCCTCCTCTTAGATTACAAGATACAGTCTGGGATCTGGGAATATATTTAATGGTCATTTCAATTCTATTTACCCATGGATTCTTGAAGAATATAATGCATCATCATAACAAATGCCAACTTTTGCCTACATCGTTATGAAAGGGTGATTAGAAAATGGTGTCCCTTGTCCCTTACCTTGATGCAGGAGTAGATGGCACAGATGAAGAGGATGTTGACAAGGATGATGAAGATGCTGATGTAGAGACCCAGCATGAGAGGAGTGCTGCGGAGAAGAAGAAGTACATCTTACCGGAAGTCCCATACTGCACCAAATTCAATTTACCATAGGCTACTATTCAGTACATTACTACATAAATTCAGTACATTTTCTTTGATAGGTTTAATACTGTTAAAAAGGCTGTCCCTTATTTGGTCCTTCGAGTAGGCTACCCCGTAGCGGTTCAACCAGACTAACCAGCAATCTAGTTTAGTTCCATGCAGTTACAATTAGAAAGGTTAATAAATAAATACAAAATAAAATATATACTTCCGTTCAAAAGTTTGGGGTCACTTAGAAATGTCCTTGTTTTCGAAAGAAAAGCAATTTTTTTGTCCATTAAAATAACAGGTCCTCAACTGGCAGCTTCATTAAATAGTACATGCAAAACACCAGTCTCAACATCAACAGTGAAGAGGCGACTCCGGGATGCTGATCTTCTAGGCAGAGTTGCAAAGAAAAAACCATATCTCAGACTGCCCATCTTAATCTTTTATTTTTATTGGCCAGTCTGAGATATGGCTTTTTCTTTGCAACTCTGCCTAGAAGGTCAGCATCCCGGAGTCGCCTCTTCACTGTTGACGTTGAGACTGGTGTTTTGCGGGTACTATTTAATTAAGCTGCCAGTTGAGGACCTGTGAGGCGCCTGTTTCTTAAACTAGACACTCTAATGTATTTGTCCTCTTGCTCAGTTGTGCACCGGGGCCTCCCACTCCTCTTTCTATTCTGGTTAGAGCCAGTATGCGCTGTTCTGTGAAGGGAGTAGTACACAGCGTTGTACAAGATCTTCAGTTTCTTGGCAATTTCTCGCATGGAATAGCCTTCATTTCTCAGAACAAGAATAGACTGACGAGTTTCAGAAGAAAGTTATTTGTTTCTGGTCATTAAGGAGCCTGTAATCGAACCCACAATTGCTGATGCTGAAGATACTCAACTAGTCTCAAGAAGGCCAGTTTTATTGCTTCTTTAATCAGCACAACAGTTTTCAGCTGTGCTAACATAATTGCAAAAGGGTTTTCTAATGATCAATTAGCCTTTTAAAATGATCAACTTGGATTAGCAAACACAACGTGCCATTGGAACACAGGACTGATGGTTGCTGATAATGGGCCTCTGTACACCTATGTAGATATTCCATAACAAATCAGCCATTTCCAGCTACAATAGCCATTTACAATGTCTACACTGTATTTCTGATCAATTTGATGTTATTTTAATGGGCAAAAACATTGCTTTTCTTTCGAAAACAAGGACATTTCTAAGTGACCCCAAACTTTTGAACGGTAGTGTATATTAAAAAACAATGAGAAGAGAGGTTAGGTATGATTAAAGATATTGACTTACTGTGGGAAGATGATGATCTGGATGAAACAGATAAAGCAGAAGACTAACAGACCACAGGCCACGTAGCCTCCAAAACGATCATCCACCTTCTTAGAGTACTGAAAACATAATCGGGAGAAGGAATAATACAATTAGCTGTTGTGTAACTATTAGCTACAGCAGCAAGCTGTTAACACAATGAGGAGGACCACAATGGAAAAAAATCCTTCAGGCTTTATTGTGCTTTCTTGAGCATTTTTTATGCATGTAATGTTGTCTCCTGGTCTGGAGTGGGTTTATATGTATTTTAATAGTCAAATCAACCAATCAATGAATCATTTAATCAATCAACAAATCACAACGCATCATACTGAATTTAAACAGTGTTAGCATTTCTCCTCTGACCTTCTTCTCTAACTCTTTAGTCTGGAAGGTGAGGAGGAACTTCTTGACGTGATCTTTACGGAGTTGGTCTATGCTGCGGGCGTCGATGGCTCGGCCCAGAAACTCATCCACCTCATCCTCAGGGTTCAAGGCCTCTTGGGCACAGCGGCTACAAACAGACAGACAGGACAACAAACAGGGTCACAGAGACAGACAGACAAGGACAACAGACAGGGTCACAGAGACAGACAGACAAGGACAACAAACAGGGTCATGGAGATGGCACAAATCAAACAGTATTTGAATTCTTAGCCTGTTTACAGATGTGCAGACTTTACACTTTTGAGACTATTCCATTCCATCCCAGGCATGCTCAATCAAGCGTTTTATTGAAAGAAAACAAACACTATTTGAACCCAGGTCTGCCTCTGTGACAGGCAGTGATTAAGAGCCAATAGGGAATTAGTGCTGGACTGACCCTCTAAAACCAACAGTCTGCTCTAAACTTAGCTCCAACAATAACTAACAGTGTGCCAATCAGTCCCCAATGGGCCAATGCATACACTACTACATTACACACACACACACACACACAGACAGAGTACACACACAGACAGAGTACACACACATGAACTGGCCAATGTCTACAACAACACACACAGAGTACACACACAGTAACCCGATAACAACTACTGGGCCAAAATAAGACTCACTTGTCTTGTCTGGATGTTTCATCGATACCCTGGGAAAAGTGACAGAAAGACAGAGAGAGAGCGAGGGGGAGGGAGAGAGGGAGAAAAATGGATGAGAGAGAGAGAAAGAAAGAGAGAGCATGAGAGAGGAGAGAGAGAAGAATGGATAACAGAGAGAGATGTTTTAGACACGTAGTCAGTGAAAACCACAGTGTAACCAAGCCAGTGAAAAACACATACTGCCAGACTTAGACATCTGCACAGTTAATCCCTGGGAGCCAGACTGATGTTTTAATTAATGCTGTGAGGATTAAAATGACACCCTTCTCCCCCTGGGCAATACCCCTCAGAAAAGAAGAGAGAGAGAGGGGAAAAGAGGAGAGGAGGGAGAAGGAAAGAGTGGAAGGGAGGTAATGAGAAGAAGAGGAGAAAGAGAGGAGAAGATGGGAGGGGAAGGGGTGAGGAGAGAGAGGGGAAGGGAGGTAATGAGAAGGAGAGGAGAAGGAGAGGAAAGAGGGAGGGGAGGGAAGTGTATGAATCGCGGGGACGGGAGGTCATGCGGGAGAGTGAGAAGGAGGAGCGATGGGAGGGGAAGGGGTGAGGTTGATGAGAAGGGGAAGGAGTTTCGCGCTCGTTGCCGGCGCGCTCGCTGGGCGGGGCCGTGGTGCTTCGCTCGCGTGGCCGGGGTCCTGCGGCCGGAGGCCGGCGCGTGAGGCCCCCCTGCCCTTGTTGCCCGGGCGGCCGGGCCGTCCGTTTGGCGCGCGGGTTCGCCTCGCGCGGGCGCCGCGGAGCGCGGCCGCGCGACGACCGTGCCGTGTGGGCGTGAGGAAAGAGGGGAATGGAGAGAGGTTGAGAACAGGAAGAGAGGAGAAAGGATAATGGAGATGCAGCCCTGCTAGACTGATCAGATCTGAAGTATTGTTGTTGTGAATCATATCAGTCAATAACAAGTGTTAGACTAGCTGTCTGCCGCTGGCCACTAACTTCCATTGGGTGTTGGCTGAACATTAAAGGGGCAATCTGCCTCTGTTTTGGTAAAAAGCTGAGGGATTGGCCTGGAGAAATGTAACCACATAAATTCATAGACAGAGCTATATCAACATTATAGTTTTATGCATATTTCGAGGCTATACAATGTTTGTTTACATTTAATTTGTTTACAAACATTGGGGTAAAACAAGCTTATATTTTGGGTTATGATGAGTATGAAAGTTGAACTAAGCTCATGAGGCATTTCTAAGTTATATTATTCAAGAAGAAATGCGTATATATAATTAATTTATACGTCAAAAAAAACGGTGGATTACCCCTTTAACCACAGTAGGGCTGTGTAACTAACTCCCACTTGTTGTGATGGTGTTGGATCTATACTGATCGATCTCTGTTTTCCATTGGCTGTTTTAGAGGCTTGAGGCTTGTATTACGCACATGATTAAAGCTTAGGTTGCTAGACAAAAACATGAACCATGTTTCCATCCACAATTTGTATGTGAGTGAAGTCATACCGTATAAAACAGCTGTGATGGAAACAGGAAGTTTTGGTACAATTTTATAAATGCCGACAGATCATTTGTTCGTTCGACATGGTAGGATCTTTTTGTGTCGATACAATTAATTCTGCGGAAAAATTGGGGTGGGAACGCCTTTATGCCCAAATATTTGTATAATAACCATCATATCGAAGTAAACTTGGAGTCAAGTGATGATAAGGTGTGTGGTCCTCCCACTAAAACTCGGGAAACCATGCAGTTTATTAGGCTACAGATGAAATAAGTTATGATTAACTTCACAGGGTGGTGAAAGTGCACAGTGATCTTGATGCTCCTTTCCAATAAATGTTGACGGTCTTATTCTGGTTTGACAAATAAAAATATTCTCTCTCTTATCCATAATAATGTCATCATGTAGACTAACCTACCAGCACAGCCTACCCACACTATCTGCGAGCTGTTGGCAAGAGTGCACATACCAAGACCAGAGTAAGCACATTTACTATTTAACGCAACAGTTTTTGTGACAAAACTATCGGTAGAGTTGAAAATGCGATGGAAACACAATTAACTTTAGATTTTTATTCGGTACATGTCAACTTAAGCCAAAAAGTACATTTTGTGTGCACTACGTCATCACACACTGATTCAGTTTGGTGGAAACACCACTGGTGGGAAAATGCACATATTTTCTTTATGTGGATTTTTTAATATTTGCATGAAAATCTGTCGCTTAATTGGATAGAATCCTAGCTATATAGAGCAATAATTTGCTCTCAGACCATTTCAGGTCATCAGTTTCTCACCATCTGTCTGAAGACCTTGGAGTCCTTGGTCCTGGAGAACCTTGTGTCGGGTACCCAGCGTGGCATCAGGCCCTCAGTGGAGTTGGCACGTACCCGCTGCATCATGGCACTCTTGGCCATCGCTACCTTCTCCTCTTTCTGCAGGGAGGGAAATTACCTCACCAACGGACCTTATTCACACTGGACATCTGAATGTTGTTATACAGTACTTAAAAAAAAAAAATTATGCTATACTATTACCAACATAGATTCAGACAGAGATTTTGAACAATACACATTCTTTTTGATAATACAATTAATAATTAATGATAAGTGCCATCTAGGAGAAACCCTTAAAAAGAGGAAATCAATGAATAAATGGATAACTAAAGGCAATGAAGAATTTATGTGATCGGAAACTGACAGTGGACAATAAACTATTCTTCTTTTTCCTAGTATAAATGAAAAACGATTGATTTAACTCGTTAAATAAACTATAGACCCTTTTCTGGCTGCACCCCAGCACCAGGAATGTCTCAATGTTGTTCTCCTTCAGATAGGCATTCCTGTCCCCTCCGAACCCCGGCTCGACCTCATAGTCCCCATTCAGGTACTGTAGGGTGGCCTTGGTGATGTGGATACGCCTAGTAACACACACACACACACACACACACACACACACACACACACACACACACACACACACACACACACAGGAGTCACATTGACACAGTTTTCGATTTTGAATCGAGGACTGCAATACCAGCAAGAGTGTAATCAATCCTAACACTTTATTATGATGCCCCACATCTAGTTGTATTTATTGTGTTATCAATCGTGTTTTTATCCTATATTTGTGTTTAATTGTGATGTGTCTGAGCCATATGCCCGTAACCCAAAGACACATTTCTATTTTTACAAAAAAATGGACAATAAAGGTTTGAACTTGAACTTGCATGCTCAACTAAATGGTTAGGAGTAGATCAAGTGCAACGCTATGGGAGTTTTCCATGGTGTGTTGGTAGTGGGAGGGGCTTACCCTGCCGCACCCCCTGCCTCCATGTGATTGGCTAGAGTGACGTCGTTGGACCACACGTCAAACTGCCACTTCCTGAGTCCCAGCACCCCACAGTGGACCCTGCCGCTATGGATACCCACACGCATGTTCACATTGACCCCTGTGACCTCTCTCACCAGCCTGCAGGGAGACACACACACAGTTAGACACACAGACGCTCGCACAGACACACCCACCAAAAACCACCTGTTACGATAGATTCTAGACAAGCCAAAATGTGCTTCTTACTAATTCAAAGACATAGGTTATTCATTAGTGTGTGTGCCCGCCCGTGTTTGCCTGTCCGTGTGTGTGTGTGTGCGCAAGCGCCTGTGTGTGCATGTGTCTATGCGTGCACCTATGCATATTTGTGTGTGTGTGTATGTGTGTGAGTGCACGTGTGCTCATGTCATGACTCACGAGATGGCCTCTATCATGTCCACTCCCATCTCCACACAGCAATGTGCATGGTCGGCCCTGGGCTCAGGCAGTCCAGACACACAGTAGTAGCAGTCCCCAAGGATCTTTATCCTCAGACAGTGGTTCTCCTATAGGACACACACAAACATGGATGTACACGCGCATGCAGACACGCAGCAAACACACACAGGCTCAGGGTTAGGGAGTAGTTTCTACATCAAATATTACATGTAGGGCCTCCTGAGTGGCGCAGCGGTCTAAGGCACTGCATCGCAGTGGTTGAGGCGTCACTACAGACCCGGATTCGATCCCGGGCTGTGTTGCAGCCGGCCGCGACCGGGAGACCCATGAGGCGGCATACAATTGGCCCAGCGTCGTCCGGGTTAGGGGAGGGTTTGGCCGGCCGGGATGTCCTTGTCCCATCGCACTCTAGCGACTCCTGTGGCAGGCCGGGCGCATGAACGCTGACACGGTCGCCAGTTGTACAGTGTTTCCTCCGACACATTGGTGCGGCTGGCTTCCGGGTTAAGCGAGCAGTGTGTCAAGAAAGCCGCATTGCTCTTGACCTTCGCCTCTCCCGAATCCATACAGGAGTTGCAGCGATGGGACAAGACTGTAACTACCAATTGGATATCACAAAATTGGGGAGAAAAAGGGGTATCATGGAACATTACACAACAAAAATGTAAGTAGCCAGTAGCCAATGAATTACACATGTCAAAATCCACAATTTCTCTGTGTATATCAATGATGTCGCTCTTGCTGCTGGTGACTCTCAGATCCACCTCTACGCAGACGACACCATTTTGTATACATCTGGCCCTTCATTGGACACTGTGTTAACAAACCTCCAAACGTGCTTCAATGCCACACAACATTCCTTCCATAGCCTCCAACTGCTCTTAAACACTAGTAAAACTAAATGCATGCTCTTCAATCGAACGCTGCTGGCACCCGCCCACCCGACTAGAATCACTACTCTCGACGGGTCTGACCTAGAGTATGTGGACAACTACAAATACCTAAGTGTCTGGTTAGACTGTAAACTCTCCTTCCAGACTCACATTAAGCATCTCCAATCCAAAGTTAAATCTAGAATCGGCTTCCTATTTCACAACAAAGCCTCCTTCACTCATGCTGCCAAACATGCCCTTGTAAAACTGACTATCCTACCGATCCTTGACTTCGGCGATGTCATTTACAAAATAGCCTCCAACACTCTACTCAGCAAATTGGATGTAGTCTATCACAGTGCCATCCGTTTTGTCACCAAAGCCCCATATACTACCCACCACTGTGATCTGTACGCTCTTGTTGGCTGGTCCTCACTACATATTAGTCGCCAAACCCACTGGCTCCAGGCCATCTATAAATCACTGCTAGGCAAATCTCCGCCTTATCTTAGCTCATTGGTCACCATAGCAACACCCACCCGTAGTATGCGCTCCAGCAGGTATATCTCACTGGTCATCCCCAAAGCCAACATCTCCTTTGGCCGCCATTCCTTCCAGTTCTCTGCTGCCAATGACTGGAACGAACTGCAAAAATCTCTGAAGCTGGAGACTTATCTCCCTCACTAACTTTAAGCATCAGTTGTCAGAGCACCTTACCGATCACTGCACCTGTACACAGCCCTTCTGAAATTAGCCCACTCAACTACCTCATCCCCATATTGTTATTTATTTTGCTCATTTGCACCCCAGTATCTCTATTTGCACATCATCTCTTGCACATCTACCATTCCAGTGTTAATACTAATTGTAATTATTTTGCACTATGGCCTATTTATTGCCTTACCTCCATAACTTGCTACATTTGCACACACTGTATATATATTTTCTGTGGTATTTTTTACTTTATGTTTTGTTTTACCCCATATGTAACTCTGTGTTTTTAATCGCACTGCTTTGCTTTATCTTGGCCAGGTCGCAGTTGTAAATGAGAACTTGTTCTCAACTGGCTTACCTGGTTAAATAAAGGTGAGAAAAAAAATGAAAAAAATGTAAAGAGTAAATCTATACTATATTTACAATCTCACGAATGGGGTTGAAGTGACTGATGATATGATGTCTAACTGCTCACCGAAGCTAGTTTGTCGAAGCGAGCGAAAAGTTCATTCAGTGTCATGACCAACTCTTGTGCGGTGCATTGTGATGCCAGGCTGGTGAATCCTTCGATGTCTGCAAACAGTATACTGTTGGATGGATAGAGAGATAGAGAGAGAAAGAAAAACAAAGAGAGAGCAAGAGAGAAAGAGAAAGCGAGAGTAAGCAAGATTGTATGACAGAGGGAGAAAAGGAGAGAACGAAAGAGGGGGAAGAGGAAGAGGAAGAGAGATAGATCAATAACCCATAATTAGCATGGTCTAACGTCTCGTTGAGATAGAGAGAGATACATTTATTCTGTTCAGCTTTACGTCCGGGCCCATTTAGGTCACCTTCAGTCCTCCCTCCCTCCCAAGTGAAGACATATCAGCACGGTTCTCATTTTCTAACTTGTGATAAAAATTACAAGGAAGAGGAAAAACAACTGGAATGTTGACACTTCTAGTAGACAGATGACAGATGGCGATGTTGCCCTCTTCATCAATGTTCTGACTCAATAATAATAATAACAACAACAACAACATGACAGAAGACAGACAGACAGAGAGAGAATGTCTTGGGAATGTCACAGTTTTAATTCAACACATCTTTATGCTGATTGAATAGAGTTTAGACTAATATCTGGGTCAAGAGGCTGGTGGTGTTCGATCAGGTAGTCCAGGGCCCATTCCACAAAGCATCTCAGAGTAGGATTGCTGACCTAGGATCAGTTTAGCATTTTAGTTAATAATGAATAAGATTGCATTGACTGATCCTAGATCAGCATTCCTACTCTGACACTTTGTGGATATGGGCCCAAGGCAGTGTCTGAAAACGTCACTGGCTTTCATATCCTTATGTCCTCCGTCCTTGTTTCCTCAATTCCTCTCAGGTTCATTGGAGGAAGCAGTCCCAGGGAGGGACCTTGGATCCTTTCCTTTAATGTGCTTTAAGAGGATTTGAGGAACTGTGACAGTTTTGTCATTTGAGCCAATACATATGTGTCACATTTTGACCTCAGCACCACTTGTTGCGGAAAAGAGTGAAATGGTCGGTGTGTGTACATGGTTACGGCAGAGTGAAAGGGTGTGTGTCCATGGTTACCTGACGTTGTCATGTTTCTGGATGTAGATCTTGTGGAACATCATATCTTCCTTCTTGGCATTGATATCTGCCTTCATCTCCATGGCAACGTGCCTCGGCAGCACCGACAGTAACAGGCGCTCCTGGAGAATGTGTATGATAGACAGATAGAGAGATATATATATATATATATATATATATAGAGAGAGAGAGAGAGAGAGAGAGAGAGAGAGAGAGAGAGAGAGAGAGAGAGAGAGAGAGAGAGAGAGATGGAGTGAGAGAGAGAGAGAGAGAGATAGAGAGAGAGAGAGAGAGAGAGAGAGATGGAGTGAGAGAAAAGCACTCAACCCATTCCCTTTCATGTGTTTCAACAGCTAGAAACCTCAATGAGTCACTGCCTTGAGTGCCATTCATTCGTTGGAATACTGCGTGGGAACACGTTGGTAGAGTATAGAGGCATTCAGATATAGTCTATATTGTTGACCCACAAAAATGTGAAAACATATTTAGGTCAACAAGTGTAATGGCTTGTGTGAGTGTATGCCTGCATGTGTGTGTGTGTGTGTAGCCTACCTGTTGCTGATTCTCTCTCTGTAGGTAGAGCCGGGCCTGGATGTACCCCCTGGTCTCCTGAAAGGCCTGTCTCTGAGATACCTCAGCAGGGTAGTGGGTACAGATACCTATCATGTTGGTGCACAGGAAGATCAGCACGTTGGCACTCAGCTGGAAGGGAGAGGGAGACAGAGAGAGAGAGAGACAGAGAGAGAGAGAGAGAGAGAGAGAGAGAGAGAGAGAGAGAGAGAGAGAGAGAGAGAGAAAGAGAGAGAGAGAGAGAGAGAGAGAGAGACATGTAAGGTTAAATATTTCATAATGTTATCATACATTCACACTGAGCTGGAGAAGAGAGGGAGAGAGGTAATTGAATTATTATTGAAATGTGGTGTGCTTTCTGGGGCCACGTAACTGCCGTAATAATCCATGTGGGTGCCTCTTCATTTTGATAGTAGTGAAGGAGTAGCTAGCTAGCTACCTACTACGGAGTCCATGGACTGCAGTGGCTTAGTTCAAACTTCTTCCGAGTTCTACTATGGATAAGCCAGAGACAGCGAGACACCTTGATGAGACCGCGCTTCCTGCCTCCGGACTTTCTCTTCCCGCTTGACCACCTCCCTCAGATGACCACTCAAGCTATGAACTTTCTAATGACTGTCCATCTCATGATGTTATGTTGTTTTTTGTGCTTTGAAGCACTTTGAGATTATTTGAAAAGCGCTATATATGCATACATTAATTATTATTATAATAATATGTTAATTACCTATTCTAATTCTGATTAATGTTTTTACATGCCATCTATGTCCTGTTGAATTGTTCAACATTGTTTTTCTGACAATGCAAGTACATTTGTTATGCCAATAAACCATTTTAGAATTTGAAGGAGAGAGAAGAGCGATGGAGAGCGAGCGAGAGAAAGGGAGGTGGGGAAAGAGAGAGAGAGGGAGAGAGACAAGAGAAAGGAGCTGGGCTTTACGGAGAGAGAGAGAGAGAGAGAGAGAGAGAGAGAGAGAGAGAGAGAGAGAGAGAGAGAAAGAAAGAAAATAGAGAGAGAAATGTAAGTATACACGTGACATTTCTTCATGTTATGACACAGTGAACCTGGTGTAACCTGGGTGAGGTTGAAAACAACATTCATATCACCATGCCATAAGATTTACAGCACGAAAACAAGACATCTAATCCAGGAATGTCTGGAAACACAAACCGGATATGATATACAGTATATGGTTAGAGATTATGAGAAAAGCCTTGTGGCTTTCCAAAAGTGGACATTCTTGAGATGTCTTCTAGGCTTTAAATGGGAAATCAGGATATCTACACATTTCTTAGAAAATCTATACATTTCCTGGGAAATCTATACATTCCCCTTCGTACTGGTAAATGTACAGATTTACCGGGGAATCTATATATTTACAGGTGCTACTGGGAATGTACAGTGGCTTGCGAAAGTATTCACCCCCTTGGCATTTTTCCTATTTTGTTGCCTTACAACCTGGAATTAAAAGTTTGTATCATTTGATTTACTCAACATGCCTACCACTTTGAAGATGCAAAATATTTTTTATTGTGAAACAAACAAAAACAGAAAACTTGAGCCTGCATAACTATTCACCCCCCCAAAGTCAATACTTTGTAGAGCCACCTTTTGCAGCAATTACAGCTGCAAGTCTCTTGGGGTATGTCTCTATAAGCTTGGCACATCTAGCCACTGGGATTTTTGCCCATTCTTCAAGGCAAAACTGCTCCAGCTCCTTCAAGTTGGATGAGTTCCGCTGGTGTACAGCAATCTTTAAGTCATACCACAGATTCTCAATTGGATTGAGGTCTGGGCTTTGACTAGGCCATTCCAAGACATTTATATGTTTCCCCTTAAACCACTCGAGTGTTGCTTTAGCAGTATGCTTAGGGTCATTGTCCTGCTGGAAGGTGAACCTCCGTCCCAGTCTCAAATCTCTGGAAGACTGAAACAGGTTTCCCTCAAGAATTTCCCTGTATTTAGCGCCATCCATCATTCCTTCAATTTTGACCAGATTCCCAGTCCCTGCCGATGAAAAACATCCCCACAGCATGATGCTGCCACCACCATGCTTCACTGTGGGGATGGTGTTCTCGGGGTGATGAGAGGTGTTGGGTTTGCACCAGACATAGCATTTTCCTTGATGGCCAAAAAGCTCAATTTTAGTCTCATCTGACCAGAGTAACTTCGTCCATATGTTTGGGGAGTCTCCCACATGCCTTTTGGCAAACACCAAATGTTTTTTCTTATTTTTTTCTTTAAGCAATGGCTTTTTTCTGGCCACTCTTCCGTAAAGACCAGCTCTGTGGAGTGTACGGCTTAAAGTGGTCCTATGGACAGATACTCCAATATCCGCTGTGGAGCTTTGCAACTCCTTCAGGGCTATCTTTGGTCTCTTTGTTGCCTCTCTAATTAATGCCCTCCTACCCTGGTCTGTGAGTTTTGGTGGGCGGCCCTCTCTTGGCAGGTTTGTTGTGGTGCCATATTCTTTCAATTTTTTAATAATGGATTTAAATGGTGTGCCGTGGAATGTTCAAAGTTTCTGATATTTTTTTGTAACCCAACCCTGATCTGTACTTCTCCACAACTTTGTCCCTGACCTGTTTGGAGAGCTCCTTGGTCTTCATGGTGCCACTTGCTTGGTGGTGCCCCTTGTTTAGTGGTGTTGCAGACTCTGGGGCCTTTCAGAACAGGTGTATATATACTGAGATCATGTGACAGATCATGTGACACTTAGATTGCACACAGGTGGACTTTATTTAACTAATTATGTGACTTCTGAAGGTAATTGGTTGTACCAGATCTTATTTAGGGGCTTCATAGCAAATGGGGTGAATACATATGCACGCACCACTATTCCGTTATTTATTTTTTAGAATTTTTTGAAACAAGTACTTTTTTTCATTCCACTTCACCAATTTGGAGTATTTTGTGTATGTCCATTACATGAAATCTAAACAAAAATCCATTTAAATTACAGGTTGTAATGCAACAAAATAGGAAAAACGCCAAGGGGGATGAATACTTTTGCAAGGTACTGTACATTTCCGTAACTATACACTGAACCTGGAGTAGAGGGTTAAACGTACATTGCCTGTAGGTTACATTGATTCAACATTACAGACCAAGGGTGTGTACCAAATGGCACCCTATTCCCTATATGGTGCACTATATAGGGTCATCTTGTCAAAATTAATGTGCTATATAGGGAATAGGGTGCCATTGGGACACACCCCAAGACCATCTCTGGTCTAGCCCTCTCTCCCTTTCTCATACTGTTAAGTGGACATCAGTAGGACAGCATTATGTTGTCTGTCTGTCTGTCGGCTTCCCTTATTGGATCTGACAATGCATCAGAACACAACTCATAATCATAGACAATACAAATAAATGGGGTCAGAGACAGAGAAGGCCCAAGTTTCTTCCTTACTCCACTATTCCTCCGTACAAATAGACACTAGGAACAGATTGAGAGAGGAGGCTCACTATTCCTCGCACTGTGCAGATAGGCAAATGCTAACAGATTGAGAGAGGAGGCTCACTATTCCTCGCACTGTGCAGATAGGCAAATGCTAGTCTCATTTGCTTAGATTCATGGACGCTAAGGCTTGTGTATTTAGACACAGCGGCAGTGGGGAAGAGACTAGGCGAATGTGAATTGTATATGAGCACACTGCAGCAAAACAACACAACCCCATTATAGGCTTATATGCATGGGCTGGCTCAAATGAAGTTTAGTAGTTTAGCCTGCAGTTAGCCTAGACCAACACAACAGCATTAGGCTAGCTTTGGGCTAGCTAAGTGAAGTTTAAATTGCCTGCAGTTAGCTTAGTGAGGTCGTTGACCTCGAGAACATTCCTCTGCTGCATACACACACACACTCCCTCTATATGCCATACAGGCAACAAGCCAGTGTCTGTAAGTGATTTTGTCCTCATCCAATGGTTTACACTGAACACACATCATGACTACAGGCTCTGGATTTCCCCCTCACTCTGACTCTCTCTCTCTCTCTCTCTCTCTCTTTCTCTCACACACACACACTCTCTCTCTCTCTCTCCGTGCTCACACACACACCACAGCCTGGGAAAATAGCTTGACCCCTGACCAGAGGACAGTCTATTTCATCACTAATGAGAAAAAGACAGACAGCCTCAGACCCTGGATGAAGCAGACTGTATAACAGCCAGATGGCCATGATGTTGTCTGATGGAGATTAATGAAGGAAATGACTTAGAGACTGACTGGTGTGTTCTGCTGTTCTCAGAACAACATTCTAGACCAGTTCCACAGAAGTTCTAAGGCCATTCCTTTTACGGACTTCGCTCTCCTCAAAGTCAACAATATGGTATTTTTTGGGAGCGTTTCTACTGGACAATCAGAACAACCTTCTACAACAGTTTCCTCAGACATCATTCTAGAATAGTACCATAGAAGTTGTATAGAACTATTGCAACTAAATCAAATCCCAAATGGATGGCAAGTGGTGTGCTCTGTTCTCCTCAGAACAACATTCTGGAACAGTCAGAACAACATTCTGGAACAGTTGGTCTTAACAGCCAAGATTCTAAAACAGTCAGGCTTTAGGCTTAACTATGTCAACTAAATCAATCAAATGGCATTACCAAACATGGCAAGTATGCACCACTCAATAATGAGGCGCAGATTCTGCTGAAAGATCAGAGTGTGAAGTGTAATACAATACACTTCAAGTTTTTTTAATTGTATATTATAGCTGGAGGATAGTGCGCCATTACTGCCGTACTTGACTTTTAATTATCTCCAACATCTGTACCAGCATATGTAAGTCGAAGCTGGTATGTGGCCAAACATGTCTGTGTATCTGTCACGATCGTTTACGGATGAGACGGACCAAGGCGCAGCGTGATAAGCGTACATATTTATTTAGTACTGAACACACGACAAAAACAACAAACAAACGATACGTGAAGTCCAAGGTAGACTAATAACATACCTATACGGAACAAGATCCCACACAGACTGGTGCCAAACGGCTGCCTAAGTATGGTCCCCAATCAGAGACAACGAACTACAGCTGCCTCTGATTGGGAAACATCCTGGCCAACATAGATCTACACGATCTAGAAACTCAAACATAGAAAACTAAACATAGAAACTACACACCCTG